CCAGGATCAGGAAATAGTCCTCCGTAAAATGTGCTGCACACATCTGGATATTGTGGGTTAAACTGTTCTGGAACAGTGTTGTAAATACAACTTAACCACTGATTTGTAGTCGTGTCCTCTTTTGGAAGAAAAGTAGTACTATTTGGAAGATAGTAGTTTCGCTTTCACAACGAAAAACACAGCGGCCTAGCGTGAGGGGAAGCCCCCTTAGCGTGTGCTGAGGCCGGGATAGAGTGAGCTGAGGGTTAGGTTAACTGAACTGCTGTTCACATGGAAACCTTTGTCCACTTCGGCTTTCAAAGCTCTCGTTTGAATATTTGCTACTACCCCCAAGATCTGCACCCGCGGCGGCTCCACCCGGGCCCGCGCCCTGGGCTTCTTCCACGTTGAAAGTTGTAGTATTTCCTCAGCGACCAGCACGGATCAGCTCTAGGCATGACGAAGCGGATATCGTCCTCTTTTGGAAGACCAAACAAAGTAGTTTTGCTTTCACAACGAAGCACACAGCGTCTTCACGACATGGCTGCAGCGTCAACAATACTACAGGGAGACTAAAAGTTAAGCCTTCTTTCTTTGCGTGAACATTTGGGCGGCGTTATGCAAATCTTCCCACATAGTGATGTAGATATGTGGGGGCGTGTTAGAACGAGTCGTTTTAGGTAAGCGTGGCTGACTCTGAACTTTTATAAAGAATATCTCTTTGGATTTGAGACTTTAGTCTTTGCAACTTTACAGATCTTCTTTATGCACCAAGAGCTTGTAACACTCCAAAGAGAAAGGAAAAATTGAAATCGCATCATATGACCCCTTTAACATGTTTCTAGCATTATTAACAAGTTACTAACATGTTGGTAGCATGATTAGCAGGTTACTAGCATGCCCTTTGCATGATTAGCAAGTTACTAACATTTTGTTAACATGTTTCTAGCATGATTAACAAGTTACTAGCATGTTGTTATCATGATTAGCCAGTTACTAGCATGTTGCTAGCATTATTAGCATGATTCTAGCATGATTAGCATGTTACTAGCATGTTGTTAGCATGATTAGCAAAATATACTAGCATTTTGTTAGCATTTTTCTAACATGTTGTATAAAAATAAAAAAAATCACGATAGGCCTACAAATGAAATAAATTGCTTTTTAGTTTTTCGGGTAGGTCTAACACACAGTAGTTTTTTTTTTTTACCAATTATCCAAATAATGTTTAATCCTAGAAAGCTATTATTATCAGAGGACACATGAGCATAGCGGTTAGCAGATGATGAGAATGAGAGGGCAGCGTTAACAGAGTTGCCCATTTACCACACCTTGTTACAACACAGTAGGGCTGTTTCAAACAGAAACAATACTGTACTACATAGATGTTTCCTGTCAGCTCGATTTTTGAGTGGACTTTGCTGTTCCGATGAGCATGAACGGTATATGAGTGGAGCACTCACATGGGTCGTGACCGAGATATAGAGCGGGATAATACGCAGAGCGTCACACCACGTGAAAGTAAATCCTGAGCGGTGAACTAATTTTCGGCAGCCGGAATTTTAGTGCATCTCTAATTATTGGCGACATTAGAAATGGATATTATATAATAGCTGCTTTTTTGAACATTTTAGCAATTTAAAAATATTAAAAAAGAATTTTTTACACGGCACCCCTGCTCTCGACAGACGCGGCACCCCGGTTGGGAAACACTGCTCTAAATAATGCCGCGAGTGGGGTTTGAGGAAGTGACGTCGCCTGCGTCTGCGCAGTGCGACCTGATGCAGCCCCTGAAGTGAGACACAGGAAACAGAAATACTGCAAAATAATAATAATAACGCGACTAAACGTTTTGTTTCGTCTCGTTTTGGTCAACGAAAATTAAGAGACATTTTAGCATAGTTTTTATTTTGTAAACCACATTCAGTCTCGTTTTTATTCGTCAACAATATTGCATTATACATTTAATTATAGTCATCGTCACATGACCAGCATTTACGTTGCGTCTCGTCTCGTTTTCGTCACGTGATAAAGGTTCGTTGACGATGATATTTAGTCATAATTTTCGTTGACGAAAGCAATACTAGTTACTACCAATGTTGTTAACATGATTAGCAAGTGACTAGCATGTTGCTAGCATGATTAGCAAGTTACTAGCATGTAATTAGCATGTTGCTAGCATGTTTTGTTGACATTATTAGCAAGTAACTAGCATGTTGTTAGCATGATTAACAAGACTAACATGTGCTAGTCACTTGATTAGCAAGTGACTAGCACATCGTTAGTATGATTAGCAAAGTTACTAGCATGTCATTAACATGTTTCTAGCTTGTTGCTAGCATGATTAGCAAGTGACTAGCATGTTGCTAGAATGACTACCAGGTGACTAGCATGTCGTTAGCATGATTAGCAAAGTTACTAGCATGTCGTTAGCATGTTTCCAGCATGTTGTTAGCATGATTAACAAGTGACTAGCCTGTCGCTAGCATGTTGTTAGCATTTTTACCAAGTGACTAGCATGTTGCTACCATGACTAGCAAATGACTAGCATGTCATTAACATGATTAGCAAGTTACTAGCATGTCGTTAGCATGTTTCCAGCATGATTAACAAGTGACTAGCATGCTGTTAGCATTATTAGCAAGTGTCTAGCATTTTGCTATCATGACTAGCAGGTCACTAGCATTTCGTTATTATTAATTAGCAAGTCACTAGCATGTCGTTAACCAGTTTCTAGCATGTTGCTAGCATTATTAGCATGTCGCAAGCATGTCGTTAGCACGATTAGCAAAGTTATTAGCATGTCATTAGCATGTTTCTAACATGTTGCTAGCATGATTAACAAGTGAATACTATGTTGCTAGCATGATTAACAAGTGACTAGCATGTCGCTAACATGTTTCCAGCATGATTGACAAGTGACTAGCATGTTGCTAGCATGATTAACAAATTACTAGCATGTCGTTAGCATGTTTTTAGCCTGATTAGCAAGTAACTAGCATGTTGTTAGCATGTTTCTATGCTAATCCAGTTAAAACCAACTAAAACCAGTTGATCCAATAAAAAAAACCCCAGCTAAAAACCAGCTAAGACCAGCCTGACCTGCTTAAAAAAAAATGGCCAAAACCATTTTAAAAACAGCTTGGGAGACCAGCCAAAGCAGCCAATCAGCTTAGGCTGGTTTTAGCTGTATTTTCAGTAGGGAGTTGTTAAGCTTTGCTATAGCACCAGACAGCTTAAATACCCCATAAGTCTTATTGTATAAAAGTTTTCACCCCCTCAATGAAAGTCTATGGGATTTTAGGTGGTTTTGATAGTCTGGTTTATGAAAACCGTAAGCCAGATCAGTTAGAAAAGATATAGCAACCCGAGTCAGACCAGTCTGAAGGTCTGACCCGAGTTTGGTGGTTGTAGATTTAAAAGTCTAGGAGGAGATACATTTTAAAATTTGGTCTAAGAAGAAGAAGAAGAAGAAGTTTAAATCGGATTTCAGTAAATTGGCTTTTTCAAGCCAACTTAATAAAACACATTTATTCTGTGGCACCAAAGAAATTATAATTTGGCGCCTACGTTTTTTTCTTTGGAGAGCCAATGGCTCCTTACTTAATTTTTTTGTTCGAAGCCCTGATATACCTGTGCCCTTCAGCAAGTAGGAAATATACAGAGATTGAATAAAGTTATGAAACACTAAATTCTAAATTAAATATAGATGAATCCTTAAAGCTACAAAATTTATTGGTTAACACACTACAGCAGCTGGGTTATTAGGTTTTTTGACTGCTATTACTTTAAGAGCTGTCGCTGCTGAATGTGACGCGGGTCTGACACGCATGCTCATAGATTCATTCGTGCTTTAATATTAAATGATACAGGCTACAGCGCGCGCCACCGTATTTGTGCAATTGAAGAGTACACACTACAAGCACAGAGTAACGGCTGACAGGACAGGAACATGTGTTTTTACTGACATATGGCCTGACATCATCTCATCTGACCACAGTTTGCTGATGTTCTACTGAAGCATCTCATCACTTGTACCGTTTCCACGCTCATTTGACTAGTGAGGCTCTGAGGCAAAGTGGAGTGCACGTCTGAAAAGTCTCCTGTCTGATGTGGTTGTAAAGACATTCTGCATCTAAATAAACACAATTCTTTTCAAGAAAAAAAGAGACAGAAGCAGCAATTGTGAGTGGGGTGGCCAACCCTAGCTCCGCCCCTGCGTTAACTGTGTTAAATATGTTTAACGCTGTTAAACAGGAAAAATTCATCATCTGCGTTAATGCACTAATTTTTAACTACAAAATATTTACAACCAACTCTTGGCTGAGCTTCCTTCTACGAAAAAGGTTTTCAGCTGGCATGGCTTACACTACCAACTGTCCTCCTCAACTTCCTCACCACAAATGAGAAATAAAGCAGCACTTTTATAGTGTAGGCTCCGCCCACAAGAGAGAAACCATTTTAAGGTAAGTACAAGGTAAGTAATAATTTTTTCAACCTTCCACAAAAAGGTAAGTCGATTATACACACATTTCACACAAGTATAAAAGACTTGATTCAAACTATGCACACATTATACTCAACAGTAAACAGTCAACAAATAAATCAAATACATTTTTCCCTGTTCCCCCTCCCCAAAATATAACCATTTAGAACAGTCCAGCCGGTGGAAGATTCGCACATGCGCAGCCCGTGAAAGTTCCTGTCTTAAGCATTTACAAACTGCCGCCGGTGGTTATTATATCTTTATATCTGTCTTACCTGCGGCAGATCTAACACGGAAGACACCACGAGCAAGAAACTTCACAGCACGAACAAGGACACAAACTGACAAAACTAAAATCTTTAACACTCACCTCAGTGTCTTCAGTTGATAGTTTGGATCCTGTAGTAAATCACTGAGCTGCTTCACTCCTGATGGTCCAGGATCATTTCCTGTGAGATCCAGCTCTATCAGGTGTGAAGGGTTTGATCTCAGAGCTGAAGCCAGAGCTTTATAACCTTCTTCAGTGATACTGCAGTCTGAAAGTCTAGAGAAAATAAATACATAAATTAAAATTAACAGTGTGGTTCAAATTATTTAATTACTGCACAAATCAGAAAATATAACTAAATCACACTACAGCTGAATAAATGGTCATGTAAAATATGAACTTATGCTGCTTTTTGTGACTTTTTGTGTTGAGCTATAATTTTCAACACAATTGCAACTGACATTATTCAGAATCCTCATTATAATCCACAAACATTTGAACTTAAAACACTCCTTGTTTCTAAAGTCACCGGGAGTCTGTGTTTTTCTTCATGTGTGTTTTCAGTTGGCTCTACATGACACTCTAATTTTAGAAAAAAAATGTGTGAATCAGTTAAGTTTGCATATAGTTTTTTTTCCCCCGTATTTACAAATATTGTATTTACGGTTGTTATTTTACTTTTTGAGGGTTTTACAGTTTCAGTTTAGTTTCTAAGTCACCAAATGTTTTACTTTTAGTTTATGTTTGCATAGTTTACTTTAGTTTTCATTTTAATTTTTATTACAATTAACAAAAAATGTCCACTTTCATTTTAAAGACAAACCTGTAGTGAGAATTTATTTATTTCTTTCCAATTCTGAAGGTGAGCAGATGAAAAAATATAATATTTAATAATTGCATCATGTAAATGTAGAATATTTGCATCATCAGTTGCATAATATTCCTGTCACTGGTTTGAATGTTAAGGCCTGTCACAACGCAAAATTTTTTTGGACTCACATATTAGTAAGTAGTAACTGCTTTAAATGATATCAGACAGTAGTCAATATACGATAGCTTATGTCAACATGATTGATGACTTTGACCTTTTGACCCATAATTATATCCATATGCGACCTTTGACATCATAATAATTTCCATATGCGAGTGTAACATGTAACAGAGAAAAAGTAAGATTGAGGCCTTTTGTGTGTGTGTGTGTGTGTGGGTGTTTGGAGTTTATATTCTTTTGTAATATAATGTTTTGGTCTTATATTTACGAGGAATTGAATTTAAATTGAATCTTTGTAAAAATAAGAAAAGTAAAATCATATACACACACCCAACTTATACATGAAACACGAGTCATCTTAAAATGTAACATACTGTATATATAACTTTTAACGTCGTACAGGTATTTTCTACCGTCAGGCATCAGGAGTCTGGTGTGGTGTAGGCCTACGCTATTTAATTTAGCTTGATCTGTGCTTTTTAGGCGCAATTAAATATTCTCAGGGTGAAGAACTCACATGTGCGGTTTCATTCAAGTACGGTTTACAACCCCCAAAAATCAGCAGGTATCCGAAGAATACGTATCATGGTGACATGAGTAGCATTTGGAATGTCTCTTCTCGCATCTGTAGTTGACTTAAGCCTGACAAGTTGTTGTTTAAACAAACATTTTCAATGAACCGGGACGTTATTTGGGCAAAGGACTAGCTCCTGTTAAAGTAATAATCTCTCTTTTCAAAGATCAGCAGACAAGAGGTTACATATGGTCTGTCTACATATATTTCCGAGTAGATAACCAATAGTATATTGATAGTATATGATATTTATTGCGCTGATAAAGGTCGGTTCAGAAAAATACAACTATATAAGTGTAGAACTAGATCATAGCTACATGCTCACCCTAGTAATAATCTAAGATATGTACACTTTTTTATTTAAGATGGAATATGTTTTGAAATAAACTAAGTACAAGTATCCTTTAAAATTATAAACCAAGTTTTGAACAGGTACTGCTGAATAAAAATCATAATTTAGGTTACATTTGCATGTAAATAAGTAAAATATTTTAAAACTTTTAAGATTTCGTCTAAACAATCTGTTAATTTTTTTAAGATCTCATTTAAGCTTTTACAATCATGCTTTAATAATAAATTTCATATTATCAAGAAAAAAAAAGGGTTAGCAGACAGAAACCTGACACATGTACTGTTACTCCACCCATCTCTGAGTCTGAAACATTCAATTTAATTTCACAATGGTGTGTAACCCTGGGAGGATCTGTGAGTTTTCTTTAGGGTAAACATATTAAGCTCACCATAATCTACATTGAGACATTTTTAGTGCACAAGATATTGGTTTCAGTACAAAAAGTTATGTTACAATAAAATATTAATCTCTCACACAAAATGTTTTAATTCCATTTTAAATGACAAAAGCATTTCAGTTAGGATATACATCATTAAATGCAAAAGGTCTGACTGTGCTTAATGGGTACATGTCTGTACCCTTTAAGCACACCCCTGTGCCCATTAAGCTCACATCATGTTTTATTAAAATTTCTTGTTTATTTTAAACAACATTTTTAAAGAATAATTGAAAAATATATTTTTGAAGGTACATAGTCAGTCACAAAAAAAAACAGAACACTAAAATCAAGCAACAAGGCATTAAATTTGATCAGTTATATATTGATAGCGAAGTGTCATGTAAACACATTGCAACATCTAGGCCTAGTCCACGTTCAGCTAAGTAACACGTATTCAAAAATCAATTAACAAAACAAACCAATAAATAATTTCATTCACGGGATGATCACTAGCCTCATTATGAAGCCTCTTATTAATTAAATAAAGGTCAGCTTATCTATAGTCTCTTAAGGCTGGAATACACTACAATATATATTTTTTTTATCAGATTTTCCACTGATTTACAATCTGGAGAAGTTGATGCTAGTTGCTAAAGGTCAGAGCCAGTCTGCAGATTTGAGTTGACAGAATCTATAGAGAATCAATTAGCTTAACTTAAAGTGACAACCATCGCTTAATATTTCAAGTCTGTTTATGAAGTATTTACATAGACGTTCATTGTGGAAGAGCTTAAAGAGACCACACTGAGCTTAATTGGAGCAGCCACAATTGTTAATAAATTTCATGTAATATTTATTAACAATTACAAAAATTATCAAAATAAATAATCTAGGTCATGTATTAAGTTCATACATATTTTATTATGAACAACTATTATTAACAATATCTATGAAATTATTGATGTCGCGCTGAAGCTGTGTGATTTTAATAGTAGTGCACCCTTTAAGCTCACCTTAAAATAATATGAAATCTTTAAAAATTACAGCAGTATAAAACCACAGACCAGCAATAATGGATTTCATTCATATGTGAACATCCTAGCACTCCAAAAAAAAAAAAAAAAAAGGTATCATTTTTCATATTTATTGCTACCTAAATCTATTAAATGTTTATATCATACAGCGTGTTATATATAATCACTGGATACGTTTTGACATTTGTGTTTTTCAGTATCTTAAAAATATATTAATGGCTAAAGTCTGATTAGACTATACTGTGTTCAACACGAGCTGAGCTATAATAATATGTGAGCAATGTAAATGTACATGTTTGCGAAAATAACGTTTATGCGTAGTTAGTGAAAAACTAACATCTTCGTTTAAAATGTGTTCAATAAACTTAAATAAATGATGAATACTTGATTAAATGTATGATTTGCTTCAGTAACATGCTACTATGCTGTCATATATTTTATTACCATATTATTTCAAATAGACATAGGGGAGAGCGGAGGACATAGTAACGCGGGTTAGTTGTAACACACGTGGTTTGATTTGATATTTCCAGATGTTAGCATAACAATATTTACAGTATTTATTAGTTAACACATCAACATTATATAGAGAAAAATTCAAAAATCTTTTGAAGCTATCGCTGAACATTTATTTTACCATAGTATAATTTTAATTCTGGCTTAAGTAAATTTTTCATTTAAAATTAGACAAATCTGCTATTATTTTAATCCCCAACGTGTTATTTATCAGATTAGATTTTAGTTTTAGTTTTTTAAAAACTAACCAGTTTTAAATTCCAGTTGCGCAGATGGGGGACGTTGTAACACTTCATTACAATGTGCTATTCTATGACATAAGCGATGTAATTTACTTTAATGAATTTTAATGAGAAACAACGAGAAACAGGTGAATAAATACTGATAGTCAATGTTTAATGTTCAGAAATTATTATTTCAAGACATGTAAAGCATTTTTGCTCGTTTATGTGGGCCGCATGCAGAATTCTTGTGTGATGGTAGGTGTACAGTGTGTACAGTAAAAGTCATTATGTCTGTGGAGTGTCCCCGTAAATCCCAGATTTAGATTATTACCCTGAGTGTCTGAATATAAAAGTTTGTAAATATGATGTAGAAACTTTAATTTTCTGTGAAACTGCGTTGCAACAATTTATTTTGTAAAAAAAAAAAGTTATAAGAAATTAATGTGAATTGAATTAAATTGTCTATGTAAAGTCTCCATAAACATGACTGGACATGTCCGTGCCCCCAATAGTCCTTATCGTTTGACCTGTTAAAATATATATATTTTTTCCCCCAATCCTGGTAAAATGTGCAACGTTTTTAAAATTTTTAGCGATGACTAAAACTAATGTAAATGTTTTGCTTTGCTTTATATCATATGCGATCGCCTAATTCATATATTTTCATTTAAAAGAAGATAATAATAATATTCGGACGATTGAATGTTGTGTTGGTGTACTTGTTTATCCTAAACTACAGTGGCCATGTGACCAAGATAGGAGCATGAACATTGGGGGGTTGTGTTTGCGGAACGATGTATGTCAGGGTTCCTCAAATCTTGCCCTGGAGGTCCAATGCGCTGCAGAGTTTAGCTCCAACCCTGATCAAACTCAGCTTCCTGTGATTTTCTAATGATCCTGAAGACATTGATTAGCATGCTCAGGTGTGTTTGATTAGGGTTAGAGCTAAACTCTGCAGGAAAGTGGATCTCGTGGGCCAGATTTGAGGATCCCTGATGTATGTTATAGCCTAATACATTGTGTACACTCACTAAACAAAGAGTGACAGCTTTTTAGTGGTTATGAGCTCTCTTTGCAAGCTTTCTAGTCAATAATCCATTTAAAATG